AAATTGCAATGGTACAAAGATAACTGTATTAGTATTTGGCCTAGTTTGCTTTTATTTCTGTGAGAAAAAAACTTACTCAAAAGCATTTGGGGGGTGCGGTATATTTTCTTAATCATTAATCAAGAAAATGCCCCACAGATGTGCTTACAGGCGAATCTCATGATTGTAATTCCTCAACTGAGGTTTTGTATTCTCTTGTGACTATGAATTGTGTCAAGTTGACAAAACACTATCCAGGACAGGGTTCTAGTACTACTATAACTAATTACCAGAAATTCGTTGCCTTTAAACAATGCAAATCTGTTGTGTTATAATTCTGTAGGTCAAAAATGAGAAGTTTAATGAGGCCAAAAATAAGGTGCTAGCAAACCTATATTCCATTATCTAGGTCCAAAAGTGACTGTGTTTCTTCATCTTTTTAAGTTTCTAGGAGCCATTTTGTTTCTTTTTTTAGTTTATTTTTTTATTTATTTATTTTTCAGTTTAAATTTAGATAAGAAACAAGGTTGCTTCACAAGTCAGTTCCAGGGCCCTCTCCCTTTCCCTCCCCTCCACCATTGCCCTTCCCCCAACCCCCCATTATCCCCTCATTTCCCCAGGGAGGGTGAGGCCCTCCATGGGGGTGTCCATAGTCTGTCATTTCATATAGGGCAGGGCCTAGACCCTTCCCCAAGAGTTCAGGGTGAGAGTGCACCTCACCATTTTGTTTCTTGACTCATGGCCTGTCTTAACTCCAATGTCTACAGTATCGCATCATTTTAATACTTTTTAAATCTTGTGCATTTTAGGAAACCTTGCAATACAAAAGGACTCAATAAAACTAATATGATAAGCACATCATAATACTCTCAATCACATCTGCATAGTCTCGTTGGCTATGTAATATATAATATATAATGTATGTTCAGACTCCTGGCAACTGAGATACCCCTCTCCCATGCATTAAGACTGAGCATGGCATACCACCATATGGAATGGGTTCCAACAAGCTAGCTCATGTACCACGTTTGTATCATGGGATGGACTCCCATACCAGGAAAGTGGCATCATTTTGCTTGCTGAAATGACAGATATTGTAAAATGTTAACTACTACTAATGAAGTAATAACTTTTATTTATCTATTCATTATCTTAATTTAAAGTTTTTCTTTGGGGGATTTATAAATTTTGAGGTTGTCATGCAATGTCAATATGAAAATATACAAACACAGACTTGATAAAACAATTCTTAACATTATGAAGATTGGGATGTTAATGTTGTGATTGTAGAAAATTAGACATAGTATTTCGTGTAAGGAATTAATTATGGTTGAAATACTTTATAGAGTATTCACTGTATCTGCATGTATATTGGTGTGTCATATTTATTCCATGTGTATATAAGGACTACAATTTAGTTTTTGTATTGATCATATTAACTTAGTGTTAAGATTGAAATGTACTCCAAAACAATACAGAGAAACCCTGTCTTGAAAAAAACAAAAAAAGATTGAAATGTAAATATAAAATTCATAAGCATATTGAATAGCTTCAGTGTTCTATAGAAATTTTATAGTGATGAATACTAAATGTCATACCAGATACTATGAAAACATAAGATATTTAATTTTTATTAAAATTCTTTATTTAAGATATAAAATCGAAGCAACACTAAGGAATTGATAGTAGTATAAATTTTGTCAGTTTGTAAAACATAGTATTGTATCTTATGATTTTTAGATTTTGTTGATAGAATTAAGCATATGTGAACTATACATTCTGATACTTTGAAGTATATAGTTTACTAACATTCCCACATACAGAAAAACTAACCATGGTATATTAGATATACCATTTAACACCTTTTCTAGAGTTCTTAGGGATCTTTAATTGCAAAATAATTCTGCTTTTCAGACCCCGGAATGATTTTTTTCAATCTAGACATTTTTAATAAAAAAATAACCACCATACCACACTTATATTTATAATGATTTATGAATTCTTTCTCAATTCTCTCTCCCCAACCATACATGTACTCATTTGGAGACCAAATTTTAACATTCTGTTACATGTGTTTCTCACCTGCTGTTTACTTTTCTATATTTTTTTCTTTTTTTATCTAGAAGCAATCATTTCACATATCACTCCCCCCCATTCCCTCTCCCTACCATCCTCCCATGCTCCCTACCAACTTCCCCAACCCACCCCCCACCCGCTCCGCAAAGAAAGTGATGCCTTCCATGGGGTATCACCAAAGTCTGTCACATCATTTGGGGGTGGGCCTAGGCCCTCTTCCATGTATCTGGGCTGAAATAGTATGTCTGCATAGTGGATGGGCTCCAGAAGTCCATGTGTGCACTATGGATAAATATTGGTTCCACTGTTACAAGTCCTATAAACTGCCCAGGCCTTCTAACTGGCACCCACATTCAAAGGGTTTGGTTCAGTCCAATGCTGGTTCCCCAGCTTTACAACTAGGGTCCCTGTGCACTTACTAGGTCAGCTCAGCAGGTTCTGTAGATTTCTCTGGCAAGGTCTTGACTCCTTTGCTTACCCCTCCTCCCTCTCTACAACTTGATTCCAGGAGTATGGCTCAGTGTTTAGCTGTGGGTATCTGCTTCTGCTTCCATCTGCTACTTGATGAAGGCTCTAAGATAGCAATTAAGGTAGTCATCAATCTCATTATAAGGAATGGGCATCAAAGGTCGCCTCTCCTCTACTGCCTAGATTGTTAGTTGGGGTCATCTTTGTGGATCTCTGAACATATCTCTTTAAACCTGTAGTGCCCTCTATTAAGGTATCTATGTTCTTGCTCTCCTCTATTTCTCCCCAATCTCTGTCTTCTGATCCCTCATGTTCTCCTCGCCCCTCCTCTTCTCCCTTTTTGTTTTCCTACCTCTTTCCCATTTCCCCATGTGCTTTCTCTCAGGGTCCTCCTTCTTTCCTCGTTTCTCAGGAGATGTGGATTGTAGGTTGTCAGTCCTTTGCTGCATGCCTAAAATGCATATATGAATCCGTACATACCATGCTTTTCTTTCTGTGACTCAGTTACCTCACTCAGGATGGTTTCTTTCAGTACCATCAATTTGCCTGCGAAATTCAAAATTTCATTGTTTTTTTTTCCACTGAGTAGTGCTCCATTGTGTAAATGTACCACATTTTCTCCATCCATTCTTCTGATGATTTTTCTGATGTGTTCTTGGATTCGATTTGCTAGTTATTTTTTTATTTCAAGCTTGCTTCACATGTCAATCCCAGATCCATCTCCATTCCCTGCTCTCCAGTCCCCCCACCAACTCCCCCAGGCCCCCACCCAGTCCCTACTCCATTCCCCAGGGACGGTGAGACCATCCATGGGGCACCTCCAGAGTCTGTCATTTCATCCAGGGAAGGTCCCAGGTCCTTCCCCAAGAGATCAGGCTGAGACAGCATCCCTCACTGTGGGAGGGGCACCCAAAGTCCATCTGTACGCCTGGGACGAGCACCAATCCACCGCCCAAGGTCCCACAGATTGTCCAGGCCTCCTCGCTGATACCCACATTCAGGGTGTCTGGATCAGTCCCATACTGGTCTCCCAGCCATCAGACGGGTGTTCAAGAGCTCCCCCTTGTTCAGGTCAGCTGTTTCTGTGGGATTCACCAGCCCGGTCTTGACCCCTTTGCTCATCATTCCGCCCTCTCTGTCACTGGGTTCCAGGAGTTCAGTTCAATGTTTAGCTGTGGGTGTCTGCCTCTGCTTCCATCAGTCACTGGATGAAGGTTTTAGGATGGCATATAAGGAAGATAATAAACTCATTATCAGGGATGGACATTACGGACACTGTTGCTTAGTTTGCCAGTTGGTGTCATCCTTGTAGATCTCTGGAAATCTCACTAGTGCCAGGTTTCTCCCAAAACCTATAATGACTCCCTCTATTATGCTACCTCTCATCTTGTTCTCTGTTCTTCCCCTGACTTAATCTTCCTGCTTCTCCATGTCCTCCTTTCCCCTCCTCCTCTCCCTCTCCCTTCTTCCAGGCTCTCCCTCCCATCCCCCCATGTTCCCAGTCTGCTCAGGAGGTCTTGGCTCATTCCCATTATCTGGGGTACCATGCATTTCTCTCTTAGGGTTCTACTTGTTTCCCAGACTCTCTGACTGTGGGATTGTGAGCTGGTACTCTCCTGAGCCATGTCTAAAACCCATATATGAGTGAGTACATACCATGTTTCTCTTTTTGTGACTGGGTTACCTCACTCAGGATGGTTTCTTCTAGTGCCATTCATTTGCCAGCAAATTTCAAGATTCCATTGTTTTTTTTCCTCTGAATAGTACTCCAATGAGTAAAATGCCACATTTTCTCTATCCACTCTTCAGTTGAGGGGGATCTAGGTTGCTTCCAGGTTCTGGCTATTACAAATAATGTTGCTATGAACACAGTGGAACATATGTCCTTGTTGTATGAATGAATGTGCATCTTTTGGGTATATGCCGAAGAGTGGAATTGCTGGGTCTTGCGGTAGATTAATTCCCATTTTCCTGAGGAATCTCCATACTTATTTCCAAAGTGTCTGTACGAGTTGGCACTCCCACCAGCAGTGGAGGAGTGTTCCCCTCTCTCCACTTTCTCTCCAGCACAAATTGTCATTGGAGTTTTTGATTTTAGCCATTCTGATAGGAGTGAGATGTTATCTCAGAGTTGTTTTGATTTGCATTTCCCTAATGGAGACTAGCTTCTTGAGTTTTTTGTACATTTTGGAGATTGGTCCTCTGTCAGATGTGGGGTTAGTGAATATATTTTCCCACTCTGTGGGCTGCCTTTTTGTCTTCTTGACTGTGTCCTTTGCTTTGCAGAAGCTTCTCTATCATTTATTTCTAACTACATGGCATTATTTACTCAAATATTTTTAAGTATTTAACTCCATGTTGTGTACTGTGTATACTTTCAGGATAAGTGAGAGGTGAATAGTTCCAATGCTGTTGCCAAAACCATCTGGATGATTTCATTGCATATGTGAATTATTTTGTGCTTCATTTTGTGTCAGGAGCGGATCCCAGAAAGTCCTTCTCCTGCTCCCTCTCTGGAAGAGAATCATCGCCCTGGCAGCCAGACCTCTTCCCACCCAAGCAGCAGTGTGTCTAGCTCTCCATCCCAGATGGATCATCATTCAGAAAGAATGGGTGAGTGTTTGCCCTGAAGAAAGTAATCAGGAGGTAGTCTTTCTGGCAATTCCATATCCCACTTGGGACAAAAGGAAAATCCTGGAGGAGCTGATACCTCTTTCATATAAATGGCTTTGAAGTAATCATGGTTTTTGAAGTAATACAGGAAACAGTGGAAAGTGTCAGAAGTTTTCCCTGCAAGGCTTTCCTTTACTGTATCACTCAGTTTCATGGAACTGATTGATAACTATGAAATTTTTTTTGTTACAGTGTAAGTCTTAGATGAATATTTTGATATGTACCATCTACTATTATACATTATATATATATATAACAGGATCAACCTCTCTGGAATATTTGAGATAAATTATCCTTCGGATAGTCATTTAAAAGCAAATCAATATACACTATGCCTCAATGTAGAAAAATGATTTTCTTCACATTTTTTTATTCCTAAGGTTTCTAACGTAGAAATTGGTGGTGATAGAACCTATAAAACACTTGAATTTGTTCATAGAAATTTATAATAGTTATCTTCAAGTTTTTGGGTTGACCACTTAAGCATTGCTAGTTCCTTTATCTATAGTATGGAAGTACTTACTTCCATGCTTGTTACAATGAATTAATGTGAGATCATGTAACCTTGACTCTCTGTGAAAAGAAAACACTTTATAAAGAAAAAGTACTAAGAAAATATGAGGAGATCAATATATTTTTGCTTTTTTATTACTTTGCTTAACATTTTATTCTTTATGCTCTTACACATCTCTACAGAAATTGTCAGGAACATTCGGCTGTAATAAATTCTCAGTATAAAATAATTATGGGTTATTTTTGCTTGGTAAAATATTCATAACTTTTATATCTACATAACCCTATATCCTATGTGTATATTTTCTTTTAAGAAAATGATTTTTGCTTCTTTGTCAGAAAACTACCTTTGGCAATACATCGTATCTTATAGACTTTTACAGCTCATAGTAGTGCTTGTTTTAGGCTCTCGCAAACAATTGGATTTTGAAGGAGTAGGAATTTAGGTGCTTAGGATATGTGTTATATTTTGAATTTGTGTTGTGGAAGAACAAAGACAATTTCTCCTTTGTGGAAATTCTTCCAAGTATATGTGTATCAGTGTTACATATTGGGTATATCTCTAGTTTCATATTTAGTTCAGTGATTCTTAAACCATTATCTATGTTATAATCACCTGTGGAGTTTTTTCAGTACAGTATGAATTTAACTCATTTGATCTATAACATAGCTCAAGAAACATGTTTTGATTTTCAATATCTCCTTGGGAGATCCTAATGCCCAGTGAGGTTAAATAAATGATGAATAACATCTTGAGGCTCCTGGTGTTTGGTGACCAATTTTGATTCCAGAAAGAGGTGGTTAATCTTTCCTATAATTTATAGACACAGTCTACCTAGTTGTTACAAACTTGAGTAAAAATTATTACTAGAAATCTAAGCAATACAAGAAGCTATCAGTGAACAATATTACTGAATCAAGAAACTAAATCATATATTATTCTGTTGGGAAATTTTTGTATTAGACTATTAAAAGAAAATAGGGTGTATCTGTATTCATATAATTTGAATCTATCTATGCAGGACAGAGAGAATCAATTATTGAGTGCTGGATAATGTTTGGACATACAGGGAAACATACTTGCTGAATGATAAGGCAAAAGAGAATGGGTAACTTATACTTAAAAGTAAAATAAAATATTCCATAGGTAGTGTAATATCTTAGAAAAATTATCGACAAATAGTGTACATGTAATTCCACTGACAGTGATTGTTCACTATATGTATATTTCATAGCTGTCCAAGAATGATAGAAATGTTATCTACACCTGAATGGAAAGGTTTAATAGATTTCACCTGTAAAGGGTCTGTATCTTATTTATAGAGCTGTAATGCTTCAACGAAATATGAGTACAGAGAATGGAATGATAAACTGCAAATTAGTACATTTTGCTTCCTCGAGTATAAATGGTTTGTAAAGATTCACAATAAGTGCCAAAATTATATTCTACTGTCAATTATATATATATATATATATATATCTGGAAACTTACCACAGTAAGTTAAAGGTGAAATTATTTTATTAAGAAATAAATTCTCTTCTGTCACATTTAAGAAAATTATTTTTATGTAACTAAATATTAATTTGTGTGTCATTTTAAAAGAAGAAATATGTACCAATAGTGCTAGTACTGAATGTGAATGATACTTTAAAAATCACAGTCATCTCTCGTATTTTCTAAGTACATGGCTATCATAACACACCTTTCTTATGTTACAGAAGTATCTACAATAAGCATAAATTGTTGAATTATTTTAGCTATTTATGTGCTTCTATGAATTTCTTTGGGTATTTTGCATGAAAGTATACCCAGTTCCCTTTTTCATTTTTAGTTATGATGCCCAACAATAGAGAAGAACTTATTGTTGACCAAGATAATGGACAGACCATAAATAAATTCCAAAGGGATAATAAAGGTAAAATGATTTTGGCTTATTTGATGTATGTATGAAGATCAAACACTAAGTACTACCGTGTTGTGTATATTATCCAAGTCAGGTTAGATTAATAGAGGCTTTGGATAAATTCTTTTGGTTGTGATAATATTCTGTTCAGCTTTTTGTTTGGTGTTATAAATTTGAAATAACTCCTAAAATTGTTAATGCGTATGGTTGAAAAGTTTCACTCTATTCAGGTTTATTATGCCTTCTGAAGAGATCCAATGCATTATGCGTATAGTTTATTAAATATTGCTACATTACCTACCATTTAAAATTTATATTCCAACGATTGCTGTTGCCATGGCAAAATGTTTTTCTTTTACTTCCATAAAATATCCTAAAGACATAATGCAAATTCTAAAACCATGTCCTATTCTTAAGATACATGAAATTTGGACATTTGAAATGGAGTCTTACTAAGATAATCCTATTGAGTACTTATTTGGAGTACAGACAAATATGGCCTCAACCTGAATTATGATCTGCTGATGCATATAACTTAAATATGTCTTTGTAGAGATAGGGAGTAGAACAATTTTAAGTGATTCTCCCATGAACTAAAAACTAAGACATAAAAATACAGGAGAATATATAATCATTTGTTATAAGATACCCTTTATTGCTGCCACACTGAGCTGGATAGTAGCTTGCACTTTTACAGAAGCCCACTAAATGACCTGTTTTTACTTTGTAGAAGGATATATTTTTGTCTCTATTAAAATGTTTATATATTCAGAACACAAGATTCAGTGTGATAAATAGCTAATAGACAATTCTTTCCTTCTTCTGGAGGCTTAACTTGCTTCATTATTACCTAGATGAGCATTTTAGCTGTAATTTGGAAATGTGTGTGATTTTAATTTCATTGATCCATGGTTGGTTTCCTTGCCACATGTTTAGTATTTCTTAGCCAGACACTGAAAGACTGTACCCTTTGGGAATGCACTGTGCATATGATTGATTACAGAATAGTTGTCAGAATGGAATAAGTCAGGTTCGGTATATTACAGTGCTTAAACTCTTATGCAGATAACAAAACTCTAGTTAAGAATAAAAATTCATCCATAATCCAACAACTTGTTCCTGAGATTACTTTTTTAAAACATGTCAGAACTCTGAACACTGCTGAAATGTGTGGATATAGGCAGAAATAGTTTGGTCATATACTGATGAGAACATTAGTAGTCCCTAGCTAGCATGTTAAACTACATCCAAGTTATAATGGAAAGTTTTCCTTAAAAAATGACTTTCCATGTCAACTTCTACCCATTGTATTTGAGATAGTAAGGCAAAATTTATTCTTTTCAAATAGACTTCAGTTATTTAAAGAGAACAAAATACTATGTAAGTCTTAATATTTATTAAGTATGACAAGTAAGCAACTTATGCAACTGCAGCAAACATATGCTTTCACATCTGCTTTGAATAATATCTTTATGATTTTAAAGAAGATTTATAGCTCTGGAAACTATAAAATGCCAGCATTGCCATTATTAACAAAATTCCAAAAATGAAGAAATACTGCTACTTTTCATGTAGCCTACTGATTTCTGCACCTGGCAACAGTGTGTGTTTACTATTGTTATAAACGTCTCAAATAATAGCTTGAATTTTGCATGGGACTTTAATATGTAAGCATGTAAAAATTTAAACTACATTCAAAATGACTCATCAAACTGACTTTATTTATTTGAATCAAATGTCCTAACTAAACTTACTAGTCATTGAAACTGAGTGTTTGATTTTATCTTTCTGTGAACTTTGCCAAATAAATAACCAATTCAATTGCCTATTATGACATTGTGTCACACGGTCCCTTTGGTAGTAACTTCATCATTTTTTTCACATCTAAGATTCCCTAGTAAAGTAAAACAGGAGGGTTTTTAATTTAAAAATAATTTTAAACATTTTTCTTCATATCATTAATACTCTGATATATTCTTAAACTGTAGGAAAATATGCACTAGTATTCGCTTCTATTTGGTCTATCTATATTGTGTTACATAATGTTCATCTAGACACGTTTTGGTGACAATTATAAAACTCTGCAGAGTATGTAAAATATGAAACAAAGCAAAATTTAAAAAACTCTTTGGGGTTCTATGCAGTATAACACCATTCTGGTCCTATGAAGAAATAGTGAGAACATTGAATATTCCCAAGAATGAACCCACTGAAACAGCGTTTGAGTCAATCCACAGAGTAGTACAGATGAAAATCTAGTGATTTACATGTAATAACCGAAATTGTTTTCTATTTAGAAAATATATCATCAAGTTTCTATATACTCAAATAAGAACAAATTTTAAGAGTGCGCTTGTGCAATATATTTTCATTACAATAATATAAATAATATCTATTTAATTTGTTCTTTACCATTATTCCCTAGGTAGTCTTAGGTAGTGAACTAAATATTTAAAAAGCAGTGGTACTAAAAACTAAGCAGAATAATTATTTTGTGTAGAATAATTGCTACAAAAGTCTTGGGTAATCAACTAAATATTTAAAAGGAATAGAACTTTAAAGTAGCCAGATGTTTGAAATAATTATTACTCTTGTTTAAGTTACAAATATAATTTCTGAAGATTATAATTTCATTCTAAATTTCACTTTCTAAACAATCTTCATAAACAACTTCAGATAATAAAGAAGAGCAAGTGGGAGAGGAGAAACCATGATCAGAATGTCAATGAAACTATATATAAAAAACTAAAGACCTGGGGAATGCCAGCCTACAATCCCATGGCCAGAGAGTCTGGGAAACAGAAACTTTATTCAGTGGCTGATGGAAGAAGAGGCAGACTCCCTCAGTTAAGTACTGAGCTGAACTCAAGAAAGCCAGTAACAGAGAGGGAGGACTGATGACCAAAGGGATTAAGACTGGGCTGGTTTAACCCCCAGGAACAGCTGACCTGACAAAGTTTAACTCTTGAATCCCAGGCATCAGCCTGGGAATCCAGCATGGGACTGATCAAGACCCCCTGAATGTGGGTGTCAGTCAGGAGGCCTAGGTAATCTATTGAGCCTTGGGCAGGAGATTAGTACTCATCCCGAGTATACACACAGACATTGGACTCCCATCCAACAATGTGAGGTGCACTCTCACCCTGAACTCTTGGGGGAGGGTCTAGGCCCTGCCCTGTATGAAATGACAGTCTATGGACACCCCCATGGAGGGCCTCACCCTCCCTGGGGAAATGAGGGGATAATGGGGGGTTGTGGGGACGGCACGGGAGGAGGGGAGGGAAAGGGCGAGGGCCCTGGAACTGACTTGTGAAGCAACCTTGTTTCTTATCTAAATTTAAACTGAAAAATAAATTTAAAAAATGTTAAAGAAAGTAATAATAAAAAAACTAAATACCAAAAAAGACATAATTTTCCTAATTTTGCACAAAATTTCTAGACATTTTATAATAAGTGTCTCTAAAATAAAATAAACATGATGTCCTGGACCTCCCTCTCTAAATGTATATATATATATATATATATATGTGTGTGTGTGTGTGTGTGTGTGTGTGTGTGTGTATAAAGATGTATGTTTATGTATATATATTGCTTTCACAGTATATATTACAAAAACAAAAAATATTCGTGTCAAATTTTCCTAGTCTCAGTAACCTCTATTACTGTAGCACAATATTAAACTCAGGGAACTTAATTAGCTTTGACTCACAGGTGTTTCTCAGAGTTTACCAGTTTTACTTGCATTATTTCCTGTACAGATCTTATTTTATGGAATTCTTTCATGTAGGTTTGTGTAGCAATGTCATGATTAAATATAAATTCATTCTATATGTTCATGGGTATTTCCCCTGTTATTTCTTGTCTCATATATCTTTTTCCTTTCATAACCTATAATTTTTATATTCTATTTTTTCCATTTTCATAATTTTATAATTTGGAATCTTATCTGTAAGTGCAAACATACATGTGATTTTAAAAGATTAGCAATTATTCTCTCAGTCTGAGTCCCCTGACAGGTGCCCAATGTATTCTATATATTCCTTTTACCTTCATATTTTTCTGATGCTGCAAGTGCAATAGTGTGTTGTCACTTATCCACATATCCATTGTAGGGCATCAAATTGTTTCTAGATTTTGGGAAATTATAAATAAAGCTTCTGTATTCATTAATACACAGTTTTGTGGGTTATGTATTCATTTCTCGGGGACAAATAATTAATATTACAATTGCTGATCCCAACTTAAGAACTGCATTCTATAGTGACTGAATCATATTATAACCCATCACCAATATTTGGATATTGCATTTCCTCCATATCCTTGCCAGTATTTTGTGTTACCATTAGTTTATTTTTAGTTGCAACCATACTCCAGAAGTACACAGTGATATCTGAGTGAAAACCTAGTTTTATTTCCCTGATGATTAATAATATGGAACCTCATGGATATCTATTAGCTTTCTTGAAATGTTTCTTACTTTGCCCATTTTCTCGTTTGGCTGTTTCCTTTGTGTTAAATATTGAGAGTTTCTAGGTTTTGTCCATTGATTTGCTTCGGAGACAGTCTCAATGTGTAGCAGACGCTGTTCCTTCTGACTCAGCCTCCCACCGCTTGAACTAATGGCATGAATGTAACACCATACCCCAACTGCCAGAGTTCTTTTCATACTTTGCATGGGTTCTATGTCAGATATGAAATCTGAAAGTTTGTTTTCCTGTTATACTGTGTATTTGTTTCATGAAGTTCAGTTTACTCACCGTTATTATTTTGTAATACTTTTAGTGTCAATTCTAAACTTTATTTATCCTGGCCATTGATCCTGGAGTTGTTCTCATGTGATTTTCTTCTTTAAGTTTTTCATTTTTGCCATCTCAAGACTGTATTCTCAAAATTGAAAGATGTTTATATGTTTGGTTGGTTGGATGTGGTTTTTAACTCTACAATCACTTCTTTAAAGTATCAAAGTTCCTCCATTGCAGGATGGATTCATGCATTTATTTTAAAATAAGGAA